GCCCTTCTCAATGTCAGTTAGCTGGGATTTAATCATGCTCATGTCTTGAAGGCTAAAATGAGTGTAGGTCTCTGTTATTTCTCCATAAGGTGAGGTGGACTGAAGCAATGGCAGCTGATGTGAGGGAATGTCAAAACAATCATGGATGTTTCCCTGCCCTCTCTGCATACGTTGTGATGAGAAATCATGCACTGTGTCATCCCAGCTGGAATCATCATCACATTCAGTAACGTGAGACATTGCTGGCACTGAAAAATCACAGAAGTTCCCCTCTTCCCCATCTGTGAAAGAGGCAGGAGCACATGCACTGAGAACTGCAGTTGTGAACTGGTCTAAACAACCTGATTTTAACTCATTTAGACAAGTCTGTTCTCTAAATCTGTCAGTTTTACCTCCTGGAAATGAGGCTGTGTGCAAAACTCCTCCCTGTACAACCGCCAGGGGCACCATGTCCTGAGTTGCACTCTGTGGTATCTGTCCAGATAAGCTACCAGAAAAGCCACTTTTCATTATCGGCTTCCGATCTCCACATGGAGATTGTGGGGAAGACGGCTGTGTGTGTATAAACTGTAGTTTGTGATCAGAGATAGAATGCGCAGCTGGCACTGGAATGTCTGTGTCTGATTGTATAACAGTGCCACTTGGAGAAGTGACTTCAACTGTCCATGTGACTTGCTTGAACTGGCTGAAGGAGACAGAAAACACTTAAACTTTTCCAAAAGGCATGTACAGTCAGCAAGAAAACCCTCAGCTTGTTTTAATGTGACTTCTGTTTTGTTCTTTGTCAAGAAGGTACAGGCCTCGACTTCCTGTCTAGCTTTCACAGCAGCACGAGAGGCTTGCTTCAAAAACTGTCCTACAGCACTGTCACTGTCCCCAAAATTCCATTTTCTTTTTGCATCTGCATTATCCTGCTTATCTTTAGGAACCGTATTTAACTATTTAAACAAAAACTTGTAGAGTACTGACCCCAAAGAATCAGATTTACTCATTTCCCACTCTTGTACAATGTTTGCAGACATATTGAAAATTATGCACACGTGACTGGCGTTTCAACTGAAATGGCTTTTCACTCAGAACCATGATTTGAACACGAAGCTTCTACATCAGAACTTTTTCTGATGCACGTGATCACTGGGGGTTCTCCCAATCAACAGTTCTGTTTTAATTCCACTGAATACGCCATCACCCTAAGTTCTACAATACAGTTTTCCCATAGACTATGCCCAGCCCTGGAACCAAAAACAGCTCTGCCTGTGGCACACTATTTCACACCGAATTCTCCCAGTAGCACTTGTT